CTCTCACATTCATTTGCATGCAAGTCTTGTAGCAAATTTTGTACTCATTTTGATTAAACGTATATTAAAATGTTCAACCATTTGTTAAATTGCATGGTTTTTGATGTGACCCCTGCATGGTTTTTGATGTGACCCCTGCATGGTTTTTGATGTGACCCCTGCATGGTTTTTGATGTGACCCCTGCATGGTTTTTGATGTGACCCCTTCATGGTTTTTGATGTGACCCCTGCATGGTTTTCTATGAGTATATTGCCTCTTTCATACACGTACCTATGTTATAGCGTGTTTTAATTCAGCACTTACGGGAATAATGGTTGCAGGTGACACTCTGTGGAACGTTTAGCGGGGACACATCAAACCTGTGCAGCTTCCTCAAGTTACAGCTCCCGTCAGTGCAGGAGTCAAAAGACTCGCAGCGAAAGTCAGAGTTCTCAGTGCAGGTTCTTGCACACACCTCATCACTGTTAATGTTGGGTATGACTTTGTCAGCTGTATCTGTGAACACTGTGGTCTGGTACTTGGTGTATTCATCTGTATACATTCCTGAGATTAAAAAGTAATGATATATCACTATCAGCAATGTGATCAAAAAAGAAAAATAAATAAAATCAACTTTGTTGAAGGATATTGAGAAAAAAAATGAAAACAAATAACATTGTTATTTTGACGACCAAATCAAATGAAACCCTTAAACTTTTATAATGACTTTTATGGTCGAATCATAAAAATTCTGAATCTTTCTTTTTTGTGCTGCTTCTAAGGATTCTTGATGATTTAAAATTAAAAATAGTGCCTTTGCAATCAATGCTAATTGTTTAAAAAGTTCTATATTAAAATTACTATAACATTAAATTATATTTGGAAGGGAGTCATATTTTGTACAATCTCAAGTTAAAATTTTGAAAAGTTCTGCTGTAAGTATTTTATTATGCCCGGTAACCAGAATAGTCCACTTTTATTGTGAAGTTAAAATTAGGATATCATAAATTGTTATTTGTATGTATGAAAAAAAAAAGAAAACAAAAAAAAAGGGTGGGGGTGTGGGGGTGTTTGAAAATTATAATTTGTAAATATGATGTCAAAAATTCGGGAGATTAGGAAGGGTATGAAAATTTGATTTTGTTTTTTTAATGCAATATATGGATGGCACATTTCTACAGATCTCATTGCAACACAACATACTTGCATAAACATTAGTGTCCACAGAAGTATTTATGGGTTGTTGGCCATTGACTAGCACATCTGGATGAATCGTGGAAAGTCTGCACCGTCCTGTGGTAAATTTGTAGTCAAAAGACTGGCAGGTAAATGTGTTCTCCTGAAAAAATAAATGTATTCTTATTTTAGAGCAATATATTTCTCCTTGAAAACAAAAAATAACTAACAATTCAGATTTTAAAAATAATATTTACAAAAGATATTTAATTATGAATTATATATTTTTGAGTCTACATGGCTATCTTTTCTCTTTGCCTACTGAAAACCCATAAATATACAAATGAGAAACTTTTAGTAATCACTTGGTGCCCGCACTTATATCTAATATTTTAAATTAAATATAGTCTTACATGTTCCATCTGCTAAAACTAAGGAAGAGAATCATAAGCACTTTAGCTTTATTTTTTTGTTACTGTAAGAACAACACAATTATAACTAATGTTTAAATGAAATATAGTTCTGCATGTTCCATCTGTTCAAAGCTAAGGGAGACAATCTTAAGCACTTTGGCTTTGTTGTTTTGTTACTGTAAGAACAACACAGTCATAGTAAAATGTTCATTTCAGTTTTTTAAAATCTATTAAGCATAGAGAGCATGAATTGACAAATATTTTCATCAAACTGTATTCGTCTAGGAAATGCTTATTCAAAGATTAAGATTAAGTTTTTACATACAGTTGAAATATGTGAGGACAAATTGAAAGGTGTCACACACAGGTTTATTATGCCTATAAATATGTCAAAATGTATGCAAAAAGACGTGATCACGTCACTCCACTACACTCACTTCATTGGCTCCCTATTCAGGCATGCATTGATTACAAGCTATCTGTTCTCTGTCAAAACTTTTTCTCGGATTCCTGCCGTTCCTACCTAACCGAACTTCTTTCCATCTATTCACCCTTTCCACTGCTTCACTGCTAAGCAGACACTCATATTATTTCGGTTCCCAAGACATGCACTAAAACATTTAGTGAACGATCTTTCTCTTTCTGTGCCCATAAACAATGGAATTCTCTCCCACTACACATCCTCAATATACCGACCATAGAGGCCTTCAAAACTGCACTCAAAACACATCTCTTCAAACTCTACAATCCCGACTGATTTCCCTCTCTGACCAATAAACGATGCTGCTGGGTGCCATCCATAGCTTCACATGTAAAAAGTTTAAAAAGTTCTGGAGTGGGTGGGGTGAATATACACTTGTTTTTATACAGCTGGTTTTTAATTAAATAAATGTATGTTATTTTTTTAATTTCATGATATGTTTGCTAATATTTTTGTGTGCAGTGCGGTGAGCCCAGCCCTAGGCCAGGGTACCGCCCTATATAAGACCACTAATAATAAATAATAATAATAATAAAGTTTATTTGAAAAACACGCTTCATCCCCAAAAGCTCGAAGCGCTTTACAAGCTTTACAAAGTCAACCATATTAAAAAGAGAAATAAAAACAATATAAAATTTACCAAATTTAAAAACAGACGCAACAATATAAAAACTACATACATAATAATAATAATGCATAACCCAACTGACAAATGAACATGTCATATTAGCCAGGTGGATACTGAGGCGCTTACCAGACATAAAACATATAGTATTTAATACATTTACCTGTAGACATAGCACGGCACAGTCAGTGACACTAACCATACTGTGGGTGACATTAGCTAGTGGGTCAAGCAGCTGATTTCTTGGTGTCAGGACAAACTTTCTTATGATGGCTCCTTTTATAGATTGGAATCACACATTAAAGAATAATATATTTCTATATACCAGGGTATAAGGTAGAACTTTTTTTTAAAATGAAAAAAAAGAATTCATTATTATTATTAAACTTCTAAATTTTACTACATAATCTTGTTGTTGAGAATCAAGTTCATCAGCCTACAAAGTGCCTAGTAGATAGTATTATATCCTAACAAACCTCAAATGTGCCAAAAATTATGTCCCCTGGATATGTTTGGGCCAAGTACAAGAAAAGCTGCGGCTTAAAGTTGATCAAATTTAATTAAATTGCTGTATACAAAATTATTAAACATACTCTACCAAGATAGGAATGCATGAGTATAAATTTCTTAAAGGAGTCCAGAGTGGAATCTTAGAAATACAATTAACTTTTTATCTATTACACAAATTAGGCTAATAAAATTGAGGCAGATTTCAATTTTAAAAGCTAGTGCATATTTATTTTTTGAAAATAAAAAAAACTTGAATTGTTAAATTTTGACATCAAAATTTGTTTTCTTTCTTTTTCTAGCATGGAACAAAATGATAAAAAAAAGAACATTTCAAAAAAAATTTCTTAATCAGGATTGTTCTATTAATAATTATGTTCAACAAAAATGTACATGTAAGCTCCACACGTTATAAATAATACAAGTCTGCAAAAATTTAACAAAAACAACCTTGTTGATGCATTTTTGTTTATTTAAATATGAAGGGCCACATAGATACCTGCAGAATTATCTGGTGAATTGGGTGAAAATAAATCATCTCTTATGTCTGTGGCAACATAGGTCCTAGAAAGGTTCTGTTAGGCAAAAATTAAAGATTAATTATTTCTTGTTTCCACTTATCATACTATTCTGTAAAGCAACATATTTAACTGACATTTTATATGTGGGACTTTTTAAAATTAGGCTACGAAATTTTTTTAACATATCTTGGTGGTGTTTTTAAAAATCTTTTTCATCAATTCAGTTATTTTTTTATTACTACAACCCTTATACTTAAACTTATACGCTATAGTTTTTTGCATAAAAAATGTTCAGTAGGTGCATGTTTTGAATTTACATATTAGAATTTGCAGGATCAAAGATTTGGAAAAAAAATAATCAAGGTGAGAAATATACAATTAGCTTAAGTTCTATAACTTAATTAATGTCATACATTGTAACTGGATTGTTATTTGCACTGTAGCCTACTGAATTGATGTTCAATTGAAAAAGAGCAATTATACTTTCACTGTGGATTTTACCTTAACCTCACTTATTTATTATTTCATAAGATAGGTAGTACGCCCCTTCAGCCCACTGAAGACAGACATTTTTAATAAATGCCTATATTCTTCTATAAAAATAATGAAAGTGTCAAATATTAAAAAATAGCAAATATTATTTGAAAAAAAACAACATTAGGTATCAATCAGGGAGACACTTAAGAAAGGGGAGATCATTTTAATTACCATTTCAAAAGAACGTTTAATCAAAAGAGGGTGGGTCAAATCAACCAGCAATTGATTAAGTGTTAACAAAATATTTTTTCCAAAATAAAAAAAAAAATGCCTAAAAAAAAATAGTCGCCCCCCCCCCTTTTCTTTAAAAAGTAAAAAAAAGTTTGAATTACGTTTCAGCAGCTAAGGCCTAAGGGATCAAATTTTATAAATAGAGCAATGGCGGTATCTATTTTTAACCTTTTTTAAGAAAGGGGAGATCATTTTAATTACCATTTCAAAAAAAAGTTTAATCAAAAGAGGGTGGGTCAAATCAACCAGCAATTGAATAAGTGTTAAAAAAATATTTTTTCCAAAATAAAAAAAAAAATGCCTAAAAAAAAATAGTCGCCCCCCCCCCTTTTCTTTCAAAAGTAAAAACACGTTTGAATTACGTTTCAGCAGCTAAGGCCTACGGGATCAAATTTTATAAATAGAGCAATGGCGGTATCTATTTTTAACCTTTTGGGCTTAGCCAATCATATTCTATGGATATTTTTATCACCATTGTAAAACTATTTATAAGTGAATCCTTGGGGAAACCACATTTAACGATAAGACAGGGACAGCGAGAGATAACGCAGAGAGATTTAACTTACATTAACTGAAAAAGTTTCACAAGTACTACAAGTACTTTATATTATGTTTGGCAAACCAGTTATCAAAATGAAAAAGTTTATTTCTTGTTTTACAAGACAAGGTAAGCGTTTAAATTAAACGTGAACTATTTCTGTCGCGTAAAAATAAAACTTTTAAGCAAGCCAGCAAGCGGTCAATATTTTAAACAATATATTGAATATAATTGAAAATATGCAAAATTAAGCTAAGCTTTATTTATTAATATGGATATGCCTACTATAAAGCACGCCCCCGCCCAGCCAATTTATTTATTAAGATTTATTAGACTTCATTTTCATCCATAACGTTATTAAAGTAATCAAGTTATTTTTAATTTAAAAAAACAATTTTTTTTGGTTTGTTTTTTGTTTCTTGAAGGGTCATTTAAAAATATTAGAACAACGTTTAAGAGCATAAAAGTCAATAAAATAAAAATTAAATAGGCCTAAACTATATTAGTCGATGTCCTATGAACACGTTCTACTAATGTATGTTTTAAACCTTTAATCTGCCAAAGAGATTGGCTCATTCTGATGAGGCTACTTCCGTTTTAGGCCAACTAGTAGTTGCCGATATAATTAAAAAAGAGATAAGTGTGCTCAATTAGCATACATCATTGAAAGAAAAAAAAAGGGGTAGGGGGTGGGGGGAGTGTTTGTGGTGAGAGAGAGTGTGAGAGAGAGAGAGAGAGAGAGAGAGAGAGAGAGAGAGAGAGAGAGAGAGAGAGATTTTTTGGCGAAGTATTAGCTCAACAAATGACTAGTACGAGGTGCAGCTATTGAGAAATGGACATTTTTTATTGTTTCTCGCAGCCAAGAGAGTGGGAGAGAGAGAGAGAGAGAGAGAGAGAGAGAGAGAGAGAGAGAGAGAGAGAGAGATTTTTTGGCGAAGTATTAGCTCAACAAATGACCATTACGAGGTGCAGCTATTTAGAAATGGACATTTTTTCTTGTTTCTCGCAGCCAGCCAAGAAAAGGTTCAAGGAAAACCTCGAAGAAAGCTGGTGATAGTTGGGGACGGCGCCTGCGGTAAGACCTCCCTGGTGACCAGAATGTCCACTGGCGACTACGTGGACATCGGGTACGTCCCGACCGTGTTTGAAAATCAACTTCTGGACGTAAACACGGGCAGTGAGACCGTGGAGCTTGTTATATTTGATACTGCAGGTAAGATCTTTTGTCCTTAGGAACATTGTGTCAGTAAAAAAAAAATTAATAATATTGAGTATATAACAGGGGTGGGCAAAGTGCGGCCGTGGGGAACCTGTTTTTAAGAAATGTCAAAAATTGTGAAAGATTATTTGTAAAAGACTTTGAAAATGTATCATCACCACGTGACACTGACAAACTGTAAGGCCTAATAATAATCACATAAAATTTAACAATAATTCAATTGTTTATTTGCCTACTGAAATCAGAATACATTTTCGCAAACCGTCTTTAATGACATACAGTATATGCCGTGCATAAATAATTATCCCGCGGCCTGCCCAAAAATAAATAATTTCTATGTGACACGGTTAGCAAAAAGGTTGGCCACTGCCCGTTGTCCACCAACCAGCTCCTCCAAGTACTTATGTTTAGTAGGCCTACATCCAGAACAACATTCTAATACAGTGCTTTCCAAACTTTTCACATGGGCGACACACTATCTAGAAATGGGGGACACACTATCTAGACATGGGCGACCCACTAATCTAGACAAAGATCATTTTGGTTGAACAGTATGTTGGTTTTACTGGTTTAAAATGGGGGGGGGGGAAGATAAACTAACCTATTTTAAGACATACAGACCCACACATAAATAATTCTATTTTCTTATATCTTCAGGGCAGGAAGATTATGATCGCCTGAGGCCTTTCTCTTACAACGACGTAGATATTGCCCTAATCTGTTTCTCCCTGGCCGATGCTGACACACTGTTAAATGTCATGTCTAACTGGGCCCCGGAAATTCGTTACTTCTGCGGGAACGCCCCCGTAATTCTAGTGGGCAACAAAAAAGATTTGCGAGATGCCGAGCTTTCCGCAAACAAAGCCTCCGCCCATGCCCACGAATGTCCAGATGATGACGACCCTTCTAAAATTAACCTCAAGCCAAAACCCCAAAGACCCGTGTCAGAGTTCAGAGACTTTTCAAAGTCTGTCTACAAGGTGAGCGCCCCTGTAAAACACAGCGAAGGCGCGCTGATCGCAGGCAGAATTGGTGCCGCGGCTTATTTTGAGACTTCGGCGCTCACGGGTGAGAACGTGGAGGAGCTGCTGCTGGCTGCGACTAAAGCGGCAATCTTAGGTCCCAAAAAGTCCCAAAAATTTAAACCTTTTGTGTCGACTATGAAAAGTTGGAAATCTTTAGGAGAACTGGTGAACTGAACGAAACAAAAGATACTATTTGGGCATTCATTTATGTCATCCTCGCTGCTGCACACTGGCATTGCGTGAGTGACATTTACAACTTGTGGAGATTTGAGACAGGGGAATCCTAAGCAAGGTATTTGCAAGACTTGAAGAATATTGCATACAAAGAAGTGGTTTTACGTTACAACAAATGGTACCAGTCTGCGTTAAAAAAAAAACCCAATTTAAAAAAAAAATGCATTTAAATGAAAGCCATGTTGATGTTGACAAATATGTAACATAATGTATGAGAGATCAGATGGTGGTTGATAAATGGATAAAACTGCACCAGGAATAAACTGATAATTTAGTAAAGTCTCCATTGCTATGTTATGTGGTGGGGTGGGTAAATATACATTGCTGTTCTTTATTTCATAAATGTATTTTAATTAAATGTCATGACTATGTCTCTTTTGATAAAATTTTTATGTAGGTACAGCGCAGTGAGCCCAGCCCTAGGCTGGGGTACCGTGCTATATAAGACGTCTTATTATTATTATTATTATGAACCACCATTTTATTTCTCTATGGTGAGATAATGGTGTAAATCATAGGTTTTAATTTAGTTAGGACATCAATCTTCTGTAGTTCATTTAGTAAAGTTGGGACACCAGTCTTCTGGAGTACAAAATCCTACAGAATTTTCTACATACATTCTTAATGATGAATAAGATCAATTAAGTCTGACATTTGGGGCAATTGCAATAATTTCCAGGTCATTTAAGCCACAGGGCCTGGGTATAATGCCAGTATATACAGAGCTGTGTAGGCCAAATAATGTGTGAAAACTTTATTTTAAAATGTTAATAAAACTTCTTACCTGTACATTAAAATGTGTTTTTATGTGACTATAAATATGTATTTAAATTTCATTTTAAGAATTCTATTTTTTAAAATAAAATTTAAATCATTGAATCAAAAATACTTTGATAATTGACAATGACATCTCCTGTGATAATTTGTTGACATATGTCATTGCTCACTGCTGTCAACTTTCCAATGCCTATTCTTTGCTGTTGTCGGTAAGTCATCTAGTTTACTTGTCATAATAAACGTAACTCTAATAAATAATGATGACCAACAGTATTACTGTTATATTTTATAATATGTGGATCAACATATTCTTATCTGGTAACAGTTATTATTTAATACTCATTTGTATGTTAATTATACATAATGTTTTTGTTGTTCTATTTTGATAATTGCTGAAGAATTCTTTCCCAACATAAATGTGATACGTATTAACTTTGAATTATTTTGTTACGAACATTCTGTTTAATGAATAAAATAAGTAATTTCAATGATAATGTTTGCAGCTGAGTTTTTAACATATTTATTCATACGGTTGAACTTAATTGTTCACTGTGGTGCTGGATACGTTACCTTCTATCTAAAAGGCATATGCACAATTTCAGTTTTAAACTACAGCATACATCTCACCAGATATCAAAGATATTATAAAATTATTTTATAGTGTACGTTTTCCCAGATAATAAATATTGCAGAGAGCAAACTTGCATTGAAACGGTTTCCACTTAATTTTTTTCATGTTTTGCATCACCCACTGAGGTGAGGTCAGGCAAAAATTACACTTATTTACTAAAAAAAACAGCATCAACTAATAGAGACAGACTTTGAATTATACTCTGATGGGTGAAAAATTATCAACCTTATACAACCTGAAATTATTTTAAAGGTTCTTTTTAGAAAGGAAAGAAAAAGAAGAGCATAAAAGTCAAAGTGAAGCGGAACCAAATCCAAAATGAAACTAGAAATCGTTGAGAGAATGAGAACAGATCTTCCCATACACCCAGAGAACAGAAAATCCCTTACCCCTGGTAGATCAATGGTGATCTGGAGCTGGTTGTCGTAGACATTGTCTGTAATGATCTTGTACATAGTATTCACATCAACCATAGGCAGGGTTACATTTTCAGAACCTTAAAAAAAAAAAAGAGCATATTTTCAGTGTAATATGCTCTAAAACACACATACCTTTTAAGCCACTGGAGCTTATAAAATAAGCATAAAATATTTGTTTATTACTACAACTCCACATAAATGTTTGAACCCACAAAGAAACAGCCCTGGTTGTAATACTTTTCTGAGCATGAGCTTATTTCACTAAAGAAAGCAAATTTTGCCACTGTACAGCCTAGTAATCAATTATTTACTGAGTTCCTCTGTTTCTCCCACAGTCACATTCCTCTTGCTCTTCTCTCAGATACTACACTGCAGCAAAGTGTTTATTTTTATATTGCTTTAACTTTTGTTTATTTGCTTCTTGCAGATATGTTCATTGTTTTGTTGCGTACCTTTTTCAGGTTTTCCCATACTTTGTTTCGCGTATTTCCTTCCCCAAAAATACAATGCTCCTCCCAATGCACATTCACAAACATTTCACCATACATATCATACTCTTTTTTTTCTTGAATCTTCTCCCCTTACATCATTTCCATTAAATTCTTATCCTTCATTCCCCTTTTCCCACCTACTTTGCTGATGGAGCGAAACAATAACTGAAGCAAGCCATCTTTCAATGACCAGACAATATGTCAGACAACATATCAGGCAACTTGTCAGACCACATGTCAGGCAACTTGTCAGACCACATATCAGGCAACTTGTCAGACCACATGTCAGGCAACTTGTCAGACCACATGTCAGGCAACTTGTCAGACCACATGTCAGGCAACTTGTCAGACCACATGTCAGGCAACTTGTCAGACCACATGTCAGACAACATGTCAGGCAACTTGTCAGACCACATGTCAGACAACATGTCAGGCAACTTGTCAGACCACATGTCAGACAACATGTCAGGCAACTTGTCAGACCACATGTCAGACAACATGTCAGACAACATGTCAGACAACATGTCAGGCAACTTGTCAGACCACATGTCAGACAACATGTCAGGCAACTTGTCAGACCACATGTCAGACAACATGTCAGGCAACTTGTCAGACCACATGTCAGACAACATGTCATACAACATGTCAGGCAACTTGTCAGACCACATATCAGGCAACTTGTCAGACCACATGTCAGGCAACTTGTCAGACAACATGTCAGGCAACTTGTCAGACCACATGTCAGACAACTTGTCAGGCAACATGTCAGGCAACTTGTCAGACCACATGTCAGGCAACTTGTCAGACCACATGTCAGACAACTTGTCAGGCAACATGTCAGGCAACTTGTCAGACCACATGTCAGACCACATGTCAGGCAACTTGTCAGACCACATGTTCTTTGTGTGGCAAAGAAAAACATTTATTTTGAAATTTAAAAAAAGCATGTATGTTTACGTACGTGAATAATGTGTGCACGACTTGTCAGACTTTGAAGAAATCGGATCGCCCTCACTTTCCTTATGATGTTGTCCCACGAGGCACTGGGAGGAGATGGGATCAAGACACCAGTCAAAACTGTTACAAATAAAACTGGTGGTCGACATGCAAGTGGCCGCACAGTCCTGAGGTGTGTCCGCGTAGACCTGAGGCGCTGACGTATTGTGGGCAACATTCATCACTGGTGTGAACAGTGCTAAGGACGTAAATAGGGGTAAAGAGAGTTGATCAATGTAAACTATGGCATAATAATTACACATGATAATGTTCATCAATTATTTGATTTTATTCACATCTATTAACAATTCTTTTGTGCAGCTCCCCTGAACCAGGAACAGAGTTAAAATTTAAAAAATATTTCAACATGAATTTTAGCCATTTACTGTTAAGTCTGCTGTTTAATTTTTCATCTCACTTGTGTAAAAAGCATAGCAAATAACTAAAAAAAAAAAGAAAATAATGATTGCTGACCGAAAGGCGGGACTTTGCCAAGGGCTGTGACCATGAGATAAATATTGCTGTCATCGTAGGTTAAACGAGCTTTTTGAAACTTCATCGGGGAAGCAAATGTCATCCCTCCAAGTGCTAGCAGGGCAGAGTTTACGAAGCTGTTGGATGCCGTGTCCAAAATGGGGTGGTAGGGTTCTGTTCAAATGCATTCAGTAAAAAGATGAGAACATTGAATAAATTTGGTGGATTTTTGAAATTTTTCACAAACAGCTGTGACATAATTTCATTTTAGTCCATGTCACCCCTCTCTTCTAGCAAATCACCCAAAGCAGATATATTTTGTCGGTTGTTTCATGGTTACAGTGTTTATAAATAATAGATAATATATAAGGGACTGTGTTCAAGTCATGTAAAGTAAATAAATTGTGGAACAAGATATGTTTAGGCTTGGAAAGAAAAGACGAGACAATTAAATGGATGTCTTGGCTAGATGTCTTCTTCAGCAGGCAATACAATAAACAAAACAATAAATTACTAACAAATCTTACGTGTGCAAAGATCTCAATAAAGTCAATGCGGCTCAATGTTCAGAACAGAAAGTGCTCTATGTTATTGTTATCTATTATTGTATAGTTTGTCTGCCGAAGAAGCCATCAATAAGAAATAATATAAAATGTTTCATGTTTGGAATAATCATTACTTGAAATAAATCAAATCAATGTTCTGCCACATGTAGAAAATGTTATTACATCTATAGAGGATTGTTTTGACCCACAACTGTGTTGACACTATAAAAAAACCACATGTACTTACGGTCCTTAAATATTATCATGAAGCTGTGTCTTTGTTCAGGCTCATAACAAGATGATGTGTCAAAGTAGTTTGCTGTGTAGTGCTCATCAACAAAGTCATAGAAGTTTATTGTCATGTAGGCGTTTGTCTGAATGTAGAGGATTGAAAGGAATATTCAATGATTAAAAAATGGAAATGAATGATGTAAAGTTGCCATTTAGTTTTGAAGCAGAAAAATAACAGTGATGTGGGAAATTGTCACTAGCATTTGTAACCACAAGGCACAGAGTTAAGAGAAGGAAATTCAATTTAATGCACAAGTACCAAAATAAGGAGAAAAAGATAAATCAATATCAAATGATTTTATTGATCCAAATAGATAAAAACGAGTTTTGATTACATTATACTTATTCAATTTCAGCACTTGGATAAATATTCTTACCAAGACATTTTTAATCTAGAACAATATAAAACTAAAACATGTTACCTGTCGGTTTTATTTGCTGATATAAAAAAAGGGGTGTGGAGAAGAGATTCCCAGAGCACAATCAAATAAAAAATGTTTCTCATTTGAGA